ACTGTGAAACTACTAAAGATAATTAAACATACTTTCAGGAACACAACTTACAGTAAAGCAATAAGATTTCGCTTCACCGTGCAATATCAATAATTTCGACGACATCGAAAACGACGGATGCCGACTAAGATCCTTTATCGCTGTTGATAACAAACAACAAGTTACTTATTTTCATAGGCCATACTGGAAGGACCATTGTTACCAAACAGGCTACATAATGGGTGGGATCCAGAAGAGAGAAGGCTCCAAAACCGGGCCCTGCTCGTGTACCGTGACCGGGGGCAAATGGTTCAACGTGCGCCTGGAGATTCGCAGGAACATCGTCAGCGTCTTTATGAACGATCTTCCAGCGGCGACATTCAAATCACATTACCCCACGAACAACAAGGGCAGCGGCATCCTTGTTACCGGCGGCTGCCGGAAGTCGATCCGATTCAGGGCTTTTTCAGTGTCGTCACTTCCGCTGCTTCCCTTCACTTCCAAGAATTGTCAGAGCGTAAGAGATGCTGGGGAATATTACAAGCTAATGGCGTACCCTGGGATAGAGGACACCACACAGCCTGGAGTGTGCCGTGCATTGTACCCTAAGGCTGTCAGTGGCGATACCTACACCATCAGTGTCAGTTTCTATACCCAGGGGAGTCTCCTTGGAGGGAAATATGGCGTCATGTTTAACGTAAAGAACGCTGACAGCTTCGAGTTTGTATACTTTCGGTGAGTATGATGTAAAAATCTACATAGGGATCAGAAAAACATACATTGCTTGCAGAATTTTCGAACGATTTTAATTTCGGACAAAAAAGTGTCCAAAAATAAAACCCTCTGAAATTGGTAAGCGTCCGAAATATTTACAGTACAATATAAAACTTTGAAGTAGCTCCAAAGCTCTTAGTTTCCTTTATGCAGGTTAAATGAACAAGCTACATTTGAGACACTGCTTTACATACGTAACAGCCTGACAGAATTTGTGTTGTTTTCTTGTCTGTGTATTCGTAAAACCTTAATTGCGGATGCAGTAAAACTATCATTTTCACAGTTACTTCAGTCTACATGTAATTCGTGTTTTGTAGGTGTAAATTTACTTTAGCTATGTTTCGGCAACGTGTCCGAGTTTGTTGTCTAAACTTATCCGAAATGAGATAAAAAGGGTCCCAAAATAAAGTTACTGGCGTGCGAAATTAAATGTCCGAAATTATTAAAGTCTGAATTTTTTTTCCAGCTCATTGCCCAGGCTTTAACACTGGCAAATGGCTGACAATGAGTTTTGCAGCAATCGGGCGCGTAAGAAAGGATGAGGTGATGCACACCACTGAAGCTAATCCCGGGGGAGCATGGAGTGACTAAGAGTATTACTACCCCCAATCCCCCAGTGGGATAANCTTTAACACTGGCAAATGGCTGACAATGAGTTTTGCAGCAATCGGGCGCGTAAAAAAGGATGAGGTGATGCACACTACTGAAGCTAATCCCGGGGGAGCATGGAGTGACTAAGAGTATTATTACCCCCAATCCCCCAGTGGGATACTAGTCCATCGAAGCTTCCCCTCCCCACCCCGGCGTCTGTTGTGTACGCACTGTAAGAGTATGTATCTTTCGTAAGAACATAACTTTAACACCCTGGGTTACTCTTATGTCGCTAGTGAAAAACCCAGCTTTTATACGACTATACAGGTCAAGACGTCCCACACAAGGCTTTTAAAATACTCTTCTAGTCTGAAGCTAGCTAGGCTTTAATTCTGTCACGTAACTGTAACGCAAAGCGACTACAATTATTGTGTTAATAAAAAATGATACCTCTCGTTTCCAGGCCCTACAATCGCGACAATTGTGTACAGATCGGATACCTACAAGGAACCAAAGTGAGCGAAGGTCAAGGACGGGAGCCCAAATCTCTGACATGCGCATACGGGTTCATGAGGGGCGGAAGTTGGTACAACGTTCGAGTCAAAGTGAGCGGAAGCGAGGTCAAGGTTCTTATCGATGGCGTACAAGCTGCTGTTTTCAAGAGTCGCTTTCCAACGTTTGGTCGCGGAGGAATCATGGTGGCCAGTGGTTTCAAGAGGAAAATAAGTTTCAAAGACTTCCGTATATTTTAATATTCACGCTAGAATGACATTATACCAAGTATCGTTAGATATCGTCAACAGCGGTTTATAAAATGGTCAAGGAATTGTGCGCGCTGCGATTGGTTAGTTTGAGCTCATTATAACCCCATGAAGGATGAGGTCATGGACGTGCGTTATTGAGTTATGATGCACGCAGTTTACGTCACGAGGTCAAACACGCAATTTATTGACTGACTTTATAAAGAAAACATTAAACTTGTTCTTTTAGGATGCTTAGTTATATAAGCACCAGGAGTTCAAGAACAATGCGCCTTTTACCCCCGGGGGCTTCCCCATAAAAAGGACGGGCGTGCTCGTCGGACATTTTGAAAAGAATCCCTGAGAAATCCCAAGATTCTGTTTCATGGGTGTGGCTTAAAATGTTTTCTGCCTTAAGAGGTACCAATTGCTGGTTTTCAGTGTCACGCAATTCAAAATAGATCAAAATAAAAATCAAAACCGGTCAATAGATAAAGTCCAGAGTCTGGGAAATGAAAG